ATTAGTAAAGAATGTCTGCCTTGAGCATTGTGCTCTTTTAAAAAACTATGTATATGGCATCAAATCGACAACAGCAACTTGAACGGTTAGAGAAGAAACTTACAGGATAGTGAGTTCATGTTAATGGTGGAGGAATAACTTGGAAAAAGAGAGAAAGAATGTTTGAACAACTTGAAGAATGCAATCAATGTCACTGAATTGTATGTGTTGAAATTATCAAATTGGCGTATGTTTTGCTGCGTACATTTTCAACAACACTAAAAAGAAATAAAATAAATTATTTTTTAAAAAAGAGCCATCACAGAAGATATAAGCTTAGGGAGGATACAGATGATCGAATCTGACGTACAAGTCGCTCATTCTTCCTTAATGGATGGATTCAGAAAGCTTGTCAGTGATTGAATAAATATGTTGCATTAGTGGATGATTATGTTTACAAATATTGCGTTTTGGTATTCTGGAATAGACTAAAGTTACACTTGCCTTCAAAACAAAACAAAAACATTCTCACAGAGAATTTTTGAACCCTTTAAAAATCCAGAACCTAAATTTGAGAAATATAGGAATTTGCAATTCTTTATCATGGTTTTTTCACTTAACGTAAATATTCTGATCATTTTCCTAAGGGTTTCGTTTTAATTCAAGTAGGATAGAAGGTGGGAAAGATAAGGTAACATGAAGCTGTCATATTACCTTTTCAACATTCAAAAAAGAATAAAATATTTCCCATTAATTTTTGCCTTAATGCTATATAGTCTGGTTTCTATTATTTTAAAGTGTTAAATGACAAATTTTTAAAGTTTTTTTCTTATTTTTCTAACATGACTTTCATAATTCTCCAACTTTATCTGCTAAGTCATATTTATAATAATCGAGTGTTTAGGACTATAGGACATTCGTGCATGTTACTGAGGAGCTGGCAGCATACCAAGTAAGCAGATAAAGCACTGGCACCAGAATGACTCGACTCTCATGTCCTCAACAGCTGTTTGGTCTATGATGTCCCCAGAAAGTCTCTGAAATTCATTTGGATGAGCACCAGATTGAAGAACTCATTTTGTTCAGTTTTCTACTAAACAGCAATATTCCCTTGGGTACAAAATGGTGGTCCTGGGCACCTTTTTCAACAAAAAGTGATAACTAATTTCCTAAGCACTGTGGTATTGCCAATTTAAAAAAAAAAAAAAAGTTGTTTCCTAAAATATATGTGCCTGCCTACCTGTCTGTCTACCATAAGTTTCTATCAAAACAGCATTCAACGAAGAGTATACTGCATTATACCTACAAGATACCGTTAATTTCTACTGCTTCTTGTGAGAAAGAGAAAGAACATCAGCTATAAAATGTTACTTCCTGATCAACAAAACTGACTTTAACTAGTACTACAGAAGTGTAAACAATGCTTATTTTTATAACATTCTAAGGACCCAGTATAACTAAATAGATCCCCCCCTCCCCCAGCCCTTTAAAATTTCTTTTAAGAAAACACAGTTGGGTTGAAGCCCAATCAACCAAGATTTATTCAAGAACAAATTTTAATATTTGAACTCTAAACATATGAAAAGGTGGTATTGTAAAGCAGCCAAATAAAGATCTTCAAATAATAAACCTACATATGTTCTTACAGTCTAAAAACTGAAGGACTAAAGAGAAGAACATTATGTTGAGGAACAGTATGTGCAATTTGGGGTTCCATTGGTTTTATGGCATGGTAGGTCACCACGCTCTCCTGCTTTGGTGGAATTATCAAAGGCTGTGGGCTATCCACTCAGATTTCTAAGATTTCTGAGTGATTAATCCTTTCTGCTATGTTTAGTTTATAAGCAATATTATTTAACAAGTCACAACAGCTGATTTTAAACACCTTGATTTCTCTTTCCCACTGTTCAATTCCACTGTGATTTTCCACTTATAAATTTTCATTCTCTGCTTTCAGTAGAGGCTTTAGCTCGAACCAGTATGTCATTTTTCCTCATATTGCTATCTCAGCTCACCCAGTCTCACCAGAACCATATTTTCATTTCTGCCTGGATTTTCTGTAAGCAATTCTAATTCATTGTATTCTCCTCATGCTAGATCTCTGCTGTTTTTGCCTGACCAGATCCATTTCCCCTTCTTTCCTGCTATTCCTGTAGTAGCTCAATCCAATTATTTCTCTGAGGAACTGCCCTTCCTCCTCATTTAATACAGTCTTGGAGAAGCCAATCAGGTGCTCTCTCCCTGGAATTTAAACTGAAAGTTACAAAGTCTGAAAATTATTAGAGTTCATGACAGACTGCCCAATAGTTCCTGCTACCTAGATCTCTGGTGTTGTCCTGATTCTTATCCTTCCTGAGTCCTGGCTGTTCAGCTTTTCCTCCTTTCTATAAACTACTCCATATCCACTCAATAATTAGATTATACAATAGATTACTAACAAACAAATCTTAATTTATACACCCCCGAAGTACACCCCTTCTTCTAATTTCCCTATTTCTGTTAGTGATACTATAATCTTGTCATCTTAAAATCGCAAGTTTATCTTTATGCTTCCTTTTCCCTTGCCCTCATCCAATCAGTTAACAAGATTTATAGACCCTTTCACATTATCCTTTGATATCTCTTCCTTTCTAGACCTATAGCCACCTCTCTAGTTCAGACCCACATTACATTTGATTTAGAGACAGAGTAGCAGAGGTTTCGGATTCTCCCAGAGCCACTATTAAAATCTGGCTTTGCTACTTGTTAGTTATGCTGCCTTGGACAAGCTGATGAACTTCTCCAAGCCTTCATTTTTTCATTTTGTTTATAATGCGTATCTCATAAGGTTATTATAAATATCAAAGAAGATTATATGTGTAAAGTTCCTTATACGTGTATAGCTAATAGGAAGCATTTGAATTAGTTACTATTGGTGCTATAATTGATTTCCCTAGCTTAATTGGTTTCTGCCTCTGTTTTCTCTCAGTTCCAATACTTTTGATACAGCAATGCCATATTCATTTTCATATATATATATATATATATATATATATAAAGTTATCAGTTTAGGGAAGTTTTATGTATCTATCTATCTATATATATATATAATTAGCCTTTATCTAACAAATTAAATTCCAGCCCTACTTGTATATCAATCAAGGTCCTCCATGATGTCTTCTATTATTCTTCTTGACGCAATCCATACCCCAGATAAACAGAGCCACTCACTCTTCCATGAACACACCCTGCCCTTTCTCATTTACATTTCTTTGCTTGTTCTTTTATCTCCATCTTCCTATCAAATTTCTACCTGTCAGAATTTTAAATGAGTAAATAAATATAAAATGCTCACAGTAGTGCCTGGCACATAATAAGTGCCTTTAGTAAGTATTACCTATCGTTATTATTGCCACTTGTTGTCTATGAAATGGACTGCATGAGGGCAGAAAAGGGAAGGGGGAAATAGTATCCAATTTTTAAATCAGGAAAAATTAAAATTCTTTTCGCTCTGGGATCTAGGGATATACAGATGAATAAGGCATAACCATTGCCATCAAGGAACACAATATAGATAAGAAACAGACACATAGATAAGCATGAGAATGCTATATGTAGACTATGTGCGAAGGCATTTTGGAAGTCTTCCACAGTGCCTGGCAGATTTCTTGCACATAATAGTTGTAACACATAGTTTTAACTGTTGGAGGGAAAATAGCCTCCTTATTCTTCAAACTCCATTTCGAATTCTTCTTCAAATGCAAAACCTTTTCCCATCTTCCTGAACATATGTGATCTCCCCAAGTTATATTGTACCTTTCTTAGAACACATGACTTTTTACATACTTGCTTTATTCACTTGAAGGGAAAAATTATATTTTGCATCTTTATATACTCTGAATTATAAAGCACTATACCTTGCACATCCTAGTGCTCAAAAAATACTTGTAAAATTGGATGGCATTACCTTCAATGAACTCTCCAACCATTTTATTTTATTTGACTTTTGCTGTGGGGAATCTTAACTGTAGAAAGACAATTGTGTTTTCTACAGGTTACTCTGCAGCTATTCATAAGGTTTTCACTGGCTAGCTGCCAGGTCTTTCTCTCTAGTCTGTCTTAGTCTGGAAGCTCAGCTGAAACCTGTCCACCATGGGTGACTCTGCTGCTTTTTGAATATTGGTGGCATAGCTTCCAGCATGACAGCAACACGTAAGCCCCCACAGTAAGACAAACTGACAGACTAAAGTGCACCTGACCCAAGCATGGTGTTTTCAGTCACCTCATATGCGTGTGAAAGCTGGACAATGAATAAGAAAGACAGAAGAATTGACACCTTTGAATTATGGTGTTGGCAAAGAATACTGAATATACCATGGACTGCCAAAAGAACAAAAAAAAAATCTGTCTTTAAAGAAGCACAGCCAGAATGCTCCTTAGAAGTGAGGATGGTGAGACTTCATCTCACATACTTTGGACATGTTATGAGGAGGGATCAGTCCCTGGAGAAGGACATCATGCTTGATAGAGTAGAGGGTCAGCGAAAAAGAAGAAGACCCTCAACGAGATGGACTGACACAGTGGCTACAACAATGGGCTCAAGCATAGCAATGATTATGAGGATGGCACAGGACCGTGCAGTGTTTCGTTCTGTTGTACATGGGGTCACTGTGAGTCAGAACTGACTAGATGGCACCTAACAACAACAACAACACAGGTTACTCATTCAGTTTTTCCTTTCCATTAGCATGGAGTGCTAATACTGGACTGTATTTATCGTAACATACATTACAAACATTAAAACACATAATTGTTTCTACCTTTCTACGTTTTTCTTAGGTCAATATTTTATCAGATGATAACTAATTAAATTCAGAAAGAGATCCTACTTCTTTGACTGACCTTCCATGGTTTCTTACTATTTGTGGATTGCGTTGTATTAATCACTCGAGCCTTAAAGAGTTGAGTCACCTGGATTTACTTGTTGATTTCTTTATTTTCTTTCTAAATAACTAAAATGATTTTTCATTTACTTTCTGTAGGTAAATGTGAATGTAAGGAACAGGTGTTAGGAAACTCCAAGGCATTCTGTGGAATGAAATATTCGTACGGTGAGTTTGAAGTTCTGAAAACCTACTCAAATTAAGTACAAAGAATGTTTTAGAAAATCGGTGGCCTGTCCTACGACTTTCTCAATAAATCAAAGCAATAGTCTTATATAATGATACCAAACACAGTATTCTGGTCTTAAGCTAGATTTTCCTAATGTAGGCAATGTTGAGTGTCCCAGTAAGGGTAGGATGCTGGTAGAGCAAAAGCAGTATTACTGTACTATACGGAAAAAAAGGCAAACATAACAAAAAGAAAGAAGAATTATGACATATAATCCTTTCTCATGGATGCTTCATGGCTTATTCATCAAAAAGGGTAGTCTTAGCCACTTAAATAATTCCTGTGCCAGTTTATCATGTAGGGTAATTCTAAACAGAAGGAGCCCAGTGATACTGTTAAGCTCTCTGCTGCTATCCAAAAGGCTGGCAGTTTGAACCCACCCTCTGCTGGAGAAAGACCTGGCGATCTGCTTCTATAAAGATTACAGCCAAGAAAACTCTACAGGGCAGTTCTACTCTGTCACATAGGTTCGCTATGAGTCGGAATCAACTCGACAACACCCAAGAACAATGCTAAGCAGAAATAAGTTTAAGGCAGTATTTTACAGTGATTACAAACACAGGCTTCGGGTTCAGGCAGACATGGGTTTGATTTCTGGTTTATTGGGTGAGTAACTTAACCTCTCCAAACCTGTTTCCTCATCTGTAAAATAGGGATAATGCCACCTTCCTCATGAAATGACGTTTTTTTTAAAAACACACAGGATATTACCTAGACATGCTAAATGCTCAGTAAATGGTAGGACTAAGAGAATATGTGTATGAGAGGCACTGAGACTAGCTCTCTGCGTCTGTGTCTCTTCTCTAACTTCTCTGCATACTCTAGACTCCTCTACCTTTCAGGTACCAGGAAAATACACCGTATAGAAAAAGGAAAATGGCACTAAGTAAAGACAGTTACTACCGTCAAATTCTAAATGGCTTTATATTTACTATTAAGTACATTAAAGATAACATATTCTTGACTTGTGTCTGGGGCTTTTTATTGTATCATGATTTATATTGCTTAAAATATACACCACAATGAAGGGAAAATTCCAAACCAGAATTTCTAAAACCAAGTGTTCAGGTTCTTGATAACATTGTATTTAATCTTATAAAATATAAAAAAAAAAGTAGATGCTAGAAACCTCATAAATCTTATCTAAGATTACATTACATTTCCCTCCCTTACCTCTCATTGGCTAAATAATAGAAGAAAATTTCTGAAATGTATATTGCCTAATAAAGGAAAGGCAGTTTAGAAGGAATGGCATTTACTATCAAAAGCAAAAAACATGACAGTTTAGTTGGAAGTCAGTTTGTTCAGTGAAAATATACACTAAGTCTCATTATCGTATAGATTTGGTAGCTCGCTGACTAAATTTACAAACAACTGCATTGGCATCTTTTAATACAACTGAATTATTTTCCACTTAAAAGAACTTGAACGTTCTTAAAGGTGTAATGAAATATCTTGGTCTTATGAAGTGCAATATTCCTACAGACTTGGAGAAAAAAAAAATTATTTCCCCCTCCCCATTCTCTGCCTTAATGGAAAAAACACTTCATTGTTTATTCCTCTAGCAAATACTTATTAAGCTACAATACTGAACAGACGAAGTCCCTGCTTTGAGTTTAGTCAAGTAGAATAATAATGTTATTGTTGTTGTGTGCCGTGGAGTATACTGCAATTCATAGTGACCCTATAGGACAGAGTAGAACTACCTCATAGGGTTTCCAAGGCTATAATCTTTACAGAAGGAGCCCTGGCGGCCCAGTGGTTAAGCGCTTGGTTGCTAACCAAAATATTGGTGGTTCAAACTCACCAGCCACTCCATTGGAGAAAGATGTGGCAGTCTGCTTCCATAAAGATTACAGCCTTGGAAACCCCATGGAGCAGTTCAACTCTGTCCTATAGGATCACTATGAGCTGGAATCGACAGCAATGGGTTTGAGTTTTTTTTTGTTTTTTTTTTTTTGTTTTTGTTTTAATCTCTACAGAAGCAGATTGCCACATCTTTCTCCTGTCCCGTGGCTGGTGGGTTCAAGCCGCTGACGTTTTCGTTATCATCCAAGCATTTAACCACTGTGCCACTAGGGCTCCTTAGAGTAATAATAAAACCAAAACCAAACCCATTGCCATCAAGTCAATTCCAACTTATAGCAACCTATAGGACAAAACAGAACTGCCTTATAGTGTTTCCCAGGAGTGGCTGGTGGATTTCAACTGCCAACCTTTTGGTTAACAGCCGAACGCTTTGCTTAACCAGTGCACCACTAGGGCTCCAAGAATAATAATAATAATAAAAACCCATTGCTGTCTAGTCAATTCTAACTCATAGCAACCCTATAGGACAGAATAGAACTGCCCCATAGGGTTTCCAAGGAGCGGCTGGTGGATTCGAACTGCCGACCTTTTGATTAGCAGCTGTAACCCTTAACTACTGTGCTGCCAGTGCTCCACAAGAATAATAATCGTGACCCTTTATTGAGCATTGGCCATGTGCCAGGCACTATGCTATGCATTCTTCAGGCATTCATCTCACTGGGTTCTGGTCCAAACTCTATGCTAACCAACCAGCCATGTGAACTTAAGCAGTTCACTTAACTTCTTAAAACTTGTTTCCTCACAGATAAAATGAGACTAGATGAGCTCTGAAGATCTCTCAGAAGTTTAAAGTTTGATGATTCTATAAAGACGGCTGCCTGACAGCCATATTCTCAGGGTATGGGACCAGCAAGAATAGGGTTCACTCATTACGCACAATCTTCTTTCAAGATATAGAAGAGTCAGTAAGAATGCTCCTAATAATATAGAACATTGCATCCCAATGTTCCTTAGCTGTACTATCTTCTCTACCCCAATGTATTCCATTACTTAACCTCCAGCCATTTCATGGATGGAAGAGCATAGTCACTACAAAATTTTTTTTAAAAAAACCATTGCCGTTGAGTTGACCCTGACTCATGGTGACCTCAAGTGTTACAGAGTAGAATTCCTACATAGAGTTTTCTTGCTTGTAATCTTTATGGAAGCAGATAGCCAGGACTTTCTTTTGTGGTACTGCTGGCTGGGTTTGAACTGACAACCTTTAGGTTAGTAGGTGTCTTAGTCATCTAGTGCTGCTGTAACAGAAATACCACAAGTGGACGGTTTTAACGGAGAGAAGTTTATTTCCTCACAGTCAAAGTAGGCTAAAAGTTCAAATTCAGGGCATCAGCTCCAGGGGAAGTCTTTTTCTCTCTGTCGGCCTTCTTCTCTTTAGTGTTCCCCCGGACTAGGAGCTTCTCTGCGCGAGGACCCCGGTCCAAAGGACGCGCTCTGCTCCCGGCACTGCTTTCTTGATGGTATGAGGTCCCCCTGTCTCACTGCTCACTTCTGTCTTTTATAGCTCAAGAGATTGCCTCAGGACACAATCCAGTCTTGTAGATCAGGTCCTGCCTTACTAACACAACTGCCACCCATCCTCCCTCATTAACATCATAGAGGCAAGTTTACAACATATAGGAAAATCACACAATACCAGGAATCATGGCCCGGCCAAACTGATACACAGATTTTTGGGGGACATAATTCAAACCATGACAGTAGGCAAACACAAACTGTGCCACACAAGGACCGTACAGGCAAAAAAATCCAAAGCTGTTGCCATCGAGTCAATTCTGACTCATAGCTACCCTATAGGAGAGTAGCAAGGAGCACCTGGTGTTTTCGAACTGCCAGCCTTTTGGTTAGCAGCCAGCCTCTTAACCACTGCACCACCAGGGCTCCTAGAATATGTAAAATATATTCTTTTATGAATACACATAAAATATATTAATTTTGTTCTTTATCATAACATTATGTACAGTCAGGCATAAGAGTATAATATGTTATTGTTAGGTGCCATCAAGTCGGTTTCAACCCATAGCGACCCTATGTACAACAGAACAAAACACTGCCCAGTCCTGTGCCATCCTCACAATCATTGCTATGCTTGAGCCTGTTGTCACAGCCATGGTGCCATTCCGTCTCATTGAGGATCTTCCTCTTTTTCGCTGACCCTCTATTCTATCAAACATGATGTCCTTCTCCAGGGACTGGTCCCTGCTGATAACATGTCCAGAGTATGTGATATAAAGTCTCACCATCCTTGCTTCTAAGGAGCATTCTGGCTGTACTTCTTCCCAGACAGATTTGTTCATTCTTCTGGCAGTCCATGGTGTATTCAATATTCTTCATCAACACTCTAATCTAAGTTATTAAGGTTGACTCTGCTTTGAGGAGGCAGCTCTTGCCCAGCCGTCTTTTAAGTGCTTTCCAACCTGAGGGGCTCATCTTCCGGCACTGTATCAGACAGTGTGTTACTGCTATTCATAAGGTTTTCGCTGGCTAATTTTTTTTGGAAGTAAACCGCCAAGTCCTTCTTCCTAGTCTGTCTTAGTCTAGAAGCTCAGCTGAAACTTGTCCATCGTAGGTGACCCTCCTGGTATTTGAAGACCTGTATCATAGCTTCCAGCATCACAGCAACACCCAAGCCCCCACAGTATGACAAACTGACAGACGTGTAGGGGAAGAATATAATAGAGTTGGAATAAAATAAATAAAACCAGGGTAACAGTTATACTTCCTATACATCTTCTTTCTATTTAGATTTCATAGCTGAATGTGTTTAAGATTATATTTGCAGTAGGCAGATAGCTGATATTCTCTTAGTGTAGTGAGTGATGTGGGAAGGAGTAGAAGTTGAAAATGCCTAAGAAGGAAGAATTTAGTTAATACAGATAAATGAGACGAAGCCAGTGCAAAAATGGATGAGCCTAATGATTTTTTTAAACAAATTTCCATATTCTCATCATTATTAATTCACCTTTCTATTATATTCTGAAATGCATATTTAAATCGTTGTTCAAATTATCAAAAGATAATATGAAATCCAGAGCCCTGGTGGTACAGAGGTTAAGAGCTCAGCAGCTAACCAGAAGGTCAGCAGTTGGAATCCTCCAGCTGCTCCTTGGAAACCCTGTAAGGCAGTTCTACTCTGTCCTCTAGGGTCGCTATGAGTCAGAATTGACTTGACAGCAATGGGTTTGGTTTTTAATATGAAATTCTGTGCATTTTGACATTTGGAATTGTGTTGTTACAGTGCTAAAAATAAAGATTTTATCAGCTCATGATAAAGGCTCCCATGCTGAGGTCAATGTGAATGTAAAAAAAGTCTTAAAATCTACCAAACTGAAGATTTTACGAGGAAAGCAAACATTGTATCCAGAATCGTGGACTAACAGAGGCTGCACTTGTCCAGTCCTCAATCCTGGTGAGTATTAAACTTTTCCATTTTAATACCTACCTTGTCTCTGCTGATGTGCTGCTTGTCATACATTCTCTGAACCACAATCTAAATAAACTCACCAAAAGCATCTCTCCTCTTTACCATTTGAATTCTAGGAAAAATCCAAATGCAATTATTTGAACTGGCGTGAAAAAATTATTTCCCTTCCACGTGTTATGTAAAAGTAAAATATTTTAAAATCCAGCAATATAATACTCTCCGTCCTAAAACTGAAGTCTCATATTGGTGCCAGGTGCCAGTAGCACAGAGAGGATTTTCATGAATTTATCTGTCATAATACTTTATCTCAAAGTTAGTTCTTATTACAGTGCCCTGGGTAGAGCCTGTTCCCAAAGGAAGTTCAAATGCAAAATTCCATCTGCGCAAATAATACTGAATTCATTTTTACTATTGTATGAGAAGCAGCTGTTTCTCCTGGACAGAAAACAACTCTCAAGTTCTTATCATCTTGTTTCTCATTAAATGATCATTCTGCTTTCAAATTAGAAACAGCAGAAACAAACAAAATAACTGTAGAATCTTAGAGCAACTCAGGGTGGAGGGAAGTTTGATTTGCATCTTGAAGTGTTACTGCAGAGTTAGAGACACCTGTACACTCTACAAGTACACTCTCATACTGTGTCATCGGTGGCTTATTTCTCTGTCTCCCTCATTAAATTTGAGGACAGGATTTAGGTTTTTGATCATAGTACCGGTTCCTACCATCAGTATCGAGATTAAAGCAGTAACATAGAGCCCAGATAGTAGGTTCTTGTAAAACAAATAATAATTCCCCCAAAATTATCTCCATTTCCCTGTTTATGTAGTTATCTGTGTCTTAATGGCACTGATGAAACAGGCACATAATTTATGTTCTGGTTCTAATTCCTTCCAAATATTAAGTCTAGGAAACCACAGTTATGTTAATAAGTCTTTTGTGTTCTTTGATTAATGAATTTGAAAGAAACAAACAGATAATAGAGAGAGAGAGAGAAGAAACTTTCAATAAAATATACCCATAATCTAAACCATGATATGAAACTCTTGATTTTTTTCAGCTGTTGACCAATCTCTCACATACTTTTCTACTCCTTTCAGTATTTTATTTAAATTAATTTAAATTTTAATAAAGAAAAGGGGAAAAAATGATACTAAAAACCATTAAAAATATATGTTTTCTTAAATATAATTTCAAAGAACAAATTAAAGTAAGCAGAATCTTAGATTCTGAATACAGGAAACCAAGAATCATTAATTTTAAGTTCTATTTTCCAATCATGTGTGCTTAGGGACTCTTCCTATAATCACTTTTCTACTACCTTAGCAAAAGTTTTTTTTTGTTTGTTTGTTTTTTTAAAGTCTGCCCAGATTTTGAGTAAGACGTTAAAAACAAAAGCTTTGACCATCTGAGCCACCCTCCAGGAAGTGAACTATATAGTGGTTCCTAATCAGATTTCTGCCAAACAGAGTCAAAGAATCAACTGTGTTCATCACTATTGCAAACACAAGCGCAATTACTCAAAGAATTCTTAAAAATATGTTTACTTGCTTTGAAGAAAAGACTGGAACCTGCCAAAGCAAAACCAGACACTCTCATTTTACTTTTTTTTTCAGTTTTTACAAGTTCAGTAGCTAAGGCCAAAGAAAGCTGATAAGAAAATTCTGAAACCTTACATGCCAACTTGCTTCCTTTGCTACTTTTGAAAAGGAGCAATCTAATGGGACATCCCTACAAATTCATTTATTCCTACATTCATACATACATTCACACAGCTATCAATCATAAATGAATGCCAAGAATAGCACCAATGTATTATATTTCCTTTTTCTATGGATACAAAATAAACTTTGTGCCCTTGAACTTACAGCAAAGTAGATACAAATTAGCATAGAGATAGGAAAATCAAATGTAAATACTAATAAGAGATGCAACAGAAAACATTGTTTTACATACTAATTTTTAGTATGATGCTACTCCATAATTTATGAATTTATTCAGCATCATTTTTATTAGTTTAATTTATATTTATACTTTAAATTAATGGCAAATTCCTGCAGTACTTGTTTTATTTATAGCTTCAAAAATATACCCATTTAAAATAGCAGACTTTGCACTGAAGTTTTCTAAAAATCATTTATTGTATTCTATAAATGAGGATTTTTTATCTTAGAGGTGACATAAACAGTATCAAGTCCATTATATTTTTTTAATTAGTCTCTTAATTAAATAGTGGGATCATTTTTTTATACAGAAGCTAAGGCTACCCTTTAAAGAATATAAATACCTTATAATCCTTCTTACACTTTGCTTTCTGGTGTTTGAAACTTCTCTATGTCTTTATTTTCCTTTTTCTCTTTTTATAAAAACACTATGGTAGCTAATTTTAAAATTAGGACTGGTTTCTTTCAATGTTTTAAATACAGAAGGAGTACCTGTATATTATAGACATTTAGGGGAAAATTTAAAATTTCCCATTTCTACCGCCAAAGATCATCCGTTAGCACCTTAATGTAAATCCTTCCAGATCTTTCTCTGTATGTGTGTATATTGTATTTTTAACCAAATAAAATCATAGTATACACTCCATTCTGCAACCTGCTTTATTCAGATAATGATCTTTACCTTTAATTTCAGATTACTTTCATATTATCTAATACTCAGACCATATTCCAATTTTCCAACTGACCCCAAAATGTCCTTTATAGCTGTTTGTCCATACTAATATTCAATCCAGGACCACACATTTTATCTAGTTTTAAGTCTGTCAGGTCTCTTTTATTCTAGCACAGTTCTTTTCTTGTTGAAGAAACGAGGCCAGATGTCCTATGGATTATCCTACCTTCTACATCTGTCTGGTTGATTCCTGTGGTGTCGTTTAGTTTGTACCTCTATTTCCTATATTTTTTGTAATCTCTAAGGAAAATCTTGATGGATGCAAGATAAGAATTTTGGCTAGAATTCATGATAGATATTGTTGCATACTTCAAGTTGAATCGCAGTTCCTGTTTGACCCACCATCAGTGTTGCTAAGTTTGACTCTTGCATTAGAGTGATAACAGTCTGATCCCTCCAATAGGCAGTTTCGTTTATCCTTTTGAGACTGGGAAACAATGGATGTGGTGTTACTTAGTCACTATACAATATCCAATTTCCCATTAACCATTCACTTAATGATTTTTATCACCAATTGGTAATCCCTTCCTAAATCAATAATTTCATTAGAGTTTGAAAAATGATGTTTTTCTAATTCTGCCTAATTCCCTTCACTTATTAGCTAACATTCTTCAGTAAAGTAGGTAGGACTTTCTCTCTCCACCTGGGATATTAGGTTACCATGAAATACAGTTCCTATTGTAAAGATAGGATAAATACTAAATTGTTTTCCTTTCATTTCCAATTTTCAAAGTACAGAATGGTTTTAACAGCTGCCTCAGGAAAACCACAAATTAATTGTTCTCTGCCTTTCTCTTTTTTCAGTATCATTTTTAAATTATGACTCAATTTTCATTGAGTCAGTGTGTTTCAATACACACAATTATTATGTTTCTTGAAGTTCAAATTATCACAACTTTGACAAGTTATTACCCCTTCTTGTTAGCTTCTTTTAAAATACCCTGGTAACTCCCATTCATCTGTGAAAATGTTCTTTCTTTTTAACATAATAAGATATCTCATGCTCACCTTGTATCTCTTTACTCTGGACCTAAGTCTGTGTGGGTTATTATTATTTTATTTGTGGCTTGAATAAGACCTTCTCCAAGGAGCCCTGTTTTTTTTGGGGGGGGTGAGTGGGGGTGGGGTGATGTTAGTGGAGACCACAGTATATGTGTTATAGGTGTTCATTACTTCTGGGATGACATTTTTTCTAGGTAATTTCATTGAATGAATAAGAAAATACATTTTTTTTTAAAGTCATGATATTTTCAATTCAATTTTAACATCCAGAGTTTTCACTTAATTTGATTTTTAAGGTATATACCTCTTTAGCAGGAGAAAGATGTCACAGTCTGCTTCCGTAAAGATTATAGCCTTGGAAACCCTATGGGGCAGTTCTACTCTGTCCTATAGGGTCTCTGTTGAGTCGGAGTCAACTTGACGGCAATGGGTTTTTTAATATCTCTTTATCTCATATTGGAAAGTTTTATTTTATAAACATAACTACTTATTTGCTCTATACAATATTAAAATTGTTTCAAAATACCAATACTAAAATATTGCTACAAACGTCTACTAAGGGAGATTATATTTCTTTTTGTTGACGTATAGGTAATGAGACTGTCCTTTCACTTTTTTGTGTTTGTCAGCCAAAATTTTCTATTTGAAGCCTGAAAGAGTTTTGAATAATAAAGTCAACACTAGGTCTGGTCATGGAGTCTCTGGGTGGTGCAAGTGGGTAAGCACTCAACTACCAGCCAAAAGTTTGGCAGTTCAAACTGACCCAGAAGCAACTCAGAAGACAGGCCAGGCAATCTGCTTCCAAAAGGTCACAGCCTCAAAAAACCTATGGAGCAGTTCTACTCTGCACATGTGGGGTTGCTGTGAGTCAGAATCAACTTCGCAACAACTAAAAACAACAGTCAAGTCTCATCATTTGTGTGTGTGTGTGTGTGTGTGTGCATGTGTCTGTGTCTGTGTGTGTATGATAAACATCCTGTATTCCAAAAACACACTGACTTTATATAGGGAATATGTGTTATTTTGTATAATCCATAGCTCTCTTCCAATGTTTTCCGTAATGATTGTTTCACTTATATGAAATCCTCCATCATACACTGCCGCACAAAGTGAGCTTCCAAAAAATACGGATTTCTAGCAGTATGTTAAGTGCCTTTAGAGTCTTCATTTCTTTACCATAGAGGGTAGGAGGGTAGTAGAATATAAAAGAAAGGTTCTGGAATCAGGCAGACCTGAGCTTGAGTCAGGGTGCTGCTACTTACTGGGAGACACTGAACTGGTTTTTTAACCTTGCTAAGCTTCAGTTTCCTCATTTGTAAAACAAGAAGAAAAATAATACCTACTTCATGGGTTATTTTCAAGATTAAAGGAGTAATATATGTAAAGCACTTAGTACACGGTAAATACTTATTAAGGTCAGCTGTTATTGTCAATTATTCCATATTCCAACTATGAATATCTAAAACCATGAACTATAAATATATGAGTGCTGAAGTAGTATCTCCCCCTTCAATAAAATATGATATCTATAGCCCCTAATTTTGTTCTCTTTTAGGTTTGGAGTACCTTGTAGCGGGACATGAGGATGTGAGAACAGGCAAACTGGTCGTGAATATGAAAAGTTTTGTCCAGCATTGGAAACCATCTCTTGGAAGAAAAGTCATGGACATTTTAAAAAGAGAGTGCAAGTAGCAATAAAGGTGTATAGCACATACATAATGGCACTTCCCTATGTATAAAACACCAACTTAATGGAAAGGAGACCTCAAAAATGAAACTGGAATTTTTTTAAGTGCCAAAATGTATAGAAACGCTCCAATGCGTAGGCTTTGTCTAACCTAATCTCTCCCTGGGCCCACGTTTAAATACAGTTTTGTTTCATAAAGAAGACTAGAAAACCCTATGCTGATAACCTGTTTTCTATGGGACTGATTCTGAAATTCATAACTATTAAGAATATTTGAATAGCAGCATGATATTTAGCAGTAATCCATTAAGGGCAATATATCTAACAAGGACACCTCCGAGCTTCAGATATGTTACTTACATTTGATGCTACTTAAATTAATTAATGAGATTTTAAGGAATCCCAACCCTACTATCAGGAAAGGTGTTTCTTAAAAAGAGCCTTCTCTTGTTTGTTATGTATGAACTTTGGTCTGTGGGGTGTTACGTGGAACCTCTCCACATGTGTATAGTATTTCCTTGTATAAAGCACTTTACTACCTACCACATGTGTTGGGAAAGTTTGGAGATTGTTGACAGAAAGAAAGTATGTGTAAGAAAATCTACTGAAACAGAAGCACTGCCACGACATGTGGACAAAAGTGACCATATAAAGGAAGTTGTACTATTTAACTGAACACTTGGAGAAATTATGTGAAGATGCAACCTTAGAGGAAAATATGTTTGCATGAAGTCTCAGCTCCAGGCTAGAGGTTAGATTCCACAGATACTGGCCATAATGAAACTTAAAAAAAAAAAACTAAACAAGAAGAGACTTTAAAATAAGAGAAAGGAATCATAAGCGTAGAAATATGCTTAGATAAAGTGGAAATGGACTTGTAAATTTTAAAAAAGTTCGTGTATTTGCAATGCACTTGTATACACTTCAAAAATTATTGTAGACACAGAATTTGTTTTATTTTTGTGTTTAGTATTTAAATCTGAACATCAAAGCAGTTTTCCTACTTGTCTTTATTAACAGTATATGGTCATTATATTAACCCATTTTTTTTAACGCAAGGTATGTGATAGTTCACCAAACTACAGTTTTTCATTATCCATCTTCTGTACCAATGCATAACCACTATACATACAGTTTCTTCTGTTCTTAAATATACAAAACATGAACCACAGTGCCATAAGATTAATTTCACATACAGAACATATTTTTTCCTGAGGTCCTGTGGACTTGCAAAAAATATATATATATATTGCTTTGTTAATTTGTTTTTATATTTCATATATGTAATAAAGGAATATGATCTCTGGATTTTTGTCTCAATTCCTGATCAGCTCTTTCAATGATGCTAAAGATTTCCTTCTCTCAATCAGGGAACTCAAATCTAATTCCTTAAATTAAGACAATCAAATAAGGGCCTGCTATTTCTAATCTATTACTCTAGGGCTTGGGAATGGAGTGGAAGCGGAGTCAGATGAGTTTATTTTCTGTAGCCTTTGGACATGAACTGTTTTCATCAGGCACATTGCAGTTTTTAAATTACATTTAGTTTTAATTTAAACAGTGATACAAGTTCAATGTAGGAAAAAAAAGTATAACGGAGAAAAAAACACTATACTGAAACCATCCTGAGATAACAGTTGTTAGCATTTTAGTTCTATGCATATGCATACCTTTTATAGAATTGGAATTATATATACATACACTTATGAAATCTTTTTTCACCTGTAGCATGTCTCTCAGCTTTTTACCTATACCTGTCTTATCCTGGTAGGTGGAATGCTATCTAGCAGAGTATCATTTAGAAGCAACTTATAAAACATGTTGGTAAGTATATCATACCAAGAAAGACATTTTAAATACAAATATATAGGATTTTCTTAAGTTTCAGAATTGCCAGCTTGCTTTCTTTTCCATTTTACTTATTGGAAATAAGTTACTATTACTCATTAAAAAGAAGAGTAGAAATAATGTCCATTTGAAAAAAGATTGGAAAGATGTCCATAATATATTAATAAATGAACAAAATGAATTGCAGAAAATTATGTGTTATTAGTCCCATCCCCAAAACACATTTATAGTATATATAGTTTCTTAAAAGGTCTGAGAGATAGATTATAGCAGTGTTTGCCCCTGGAGAAAAGAAAGAGGGAAGTTTTCCCTTTTTATTTTACACACATCCATATTGCCTGACTTTCTTTCGATGATTATGTACTTACTTTTGTAATTTATATTTTAAACCAATTAAAATTTAATCAATTGTTTTTAAGCTATGTTCAGGTAAAATTATAACTGAAACTTTGATTTTATCTAGTTTACCAAATTGTTGGGCCTCAATATTTCTTCCTAGTTCTTTTTGACTAGAATCTTCTTCTTTAGTTGCTCTTTCAAGGAACTTTTCTGGCAACCTTCCAAAAAATAAGTCACAGTTATAATAATCTCTTAATTTCTTGATTCTCAAATCACTTGCACTGTGTTTTAAATTTCTTATGAGCATCATCTGGCTCCCAAAGTGAAGGAGGGGCGGCGGTGGGAAGAAGAGGAAAGAAAAGAGAAAGAAACCTTGTGTCCCCCATTTGTAAAAGTAAACAACAAAATGAAGTGTGAGCCAGCCTCCTCATGACCCCATTCCCATTCTATCATACTGCCACACTTATATGCACTTTCTTTTTCTTAGCATCTCTCAAAATAACCAACTCCATACCAAGGCAACAGAGTCAAATAAAACTTCCATCTATGGCTTCATATAAATCTGCCCCCAGAGCTTTACTCCACTAACTGTTGGGCTTTGTTAGTCAGATTAGTTGCATAATCTTCACATACCTATCTCTGTAATTTGCCTGAGGTCAACACAGGCTTTGCCCTCTTATTATATCATTCATTCTGCAGAGGAAAGTTACTAATATTTAGCATTCGATGTAATGGAAATTCTCAATAATAGGATAATCTTTTAATAGTGTCCACTAATGAGGTCAAATCTATGGGGATGTGACCATGAGTCCAAAAAACAGTGTCCATCTGGCTATATTAAACAGACAGCAAGGCCTATTATGGGTAAACATAGTACTTGGGGACACATAGACACACTGGGTTCTTGCAAAATAAATCCTTTTTGAAACGATCAGGAACTTATCAACTGCAAAGGGTGGGAAAAAGAACCTTGAAAATTCCTTGTGCTATCCCTTTGCCACTCCCCTGGAATGCCTGAGAACAAGGACTGTGAGCACTGCCTCTGCCACTGAGGAGTTTTGTCTGAGGCCCCAGCACTGAATTGCTTTTGTGTTCATTGTTTCAGTGATAAGCAGTTCCCTAACCTAACTTTATCAAAGAGCCAAAGTTACTCACGACTTATTTCCCACAGCTTGGAAGGAAAATATTTATGAACAGCCTCAGTTTTGCAAGAGAGATTGGTATGATAAAAATGGACTAGAAGCAAAAGGGTGTGCCTTGTATTACTTTTTTTTTTTCCAAGTTTCAGAGAATGATTTGTCTGAGAATACTTTTTTTTTTATGATGTCCCTTGTCCCTCTTTTCCTCCCCTTTCACCAAAGGAATTTAAATATTTTTCTATATTTTGAACATTGTTGACTGTTTGAAACCTGCATTTTTTTCATTATAAATTCCCAGATTTATTATTCACCAGTTCATACATGCTAAATAACTAAAAAAAAGTAGAATGTTAGTCATAAGAAAGAAAGAAATATGCACTGAGCCAAAGAGATACTTGTAAAACATACGATGTGTGTTCTGTGGAGAGAGGGCTCTTTCTGGTAAATGATAAATACATCTCTACTTTCTAAACGTGTAGTCACAGGTGGGTGACCATGATCCAAAGTTTGGTCATTAGTAAAAAATTTTAATTTACAAATCCAAGAGTATCAGTGTTCATTGAGAATGATCAAATCATAGTGTCCTTATCTGAACAAGGGGGAATAGCAGCCAGGCAGGGAAACTTGCTTTCCAGAAAGAAAAATAACCACTATTAGCAAATTTTCACAGTATGGGTAAAACAGCCTGCCCAGAAATCCCCTGGACATCGCCTTCTCAACCAGGACACTACTAAGGGATTCAAACTTGGAGACTAAAAAATGAGAGAAAATAACAATAATAGCAAACAAGAGTTTACTACAAGTTAGGCACTTCTCTAAGTACTTTACATGTGTTATTCTCATTTGATTTTCCTAACCACTCCTAAAGTGTGTGATATTACTATTCCCATTTCCCAGATAAGGAACCTGAGGCACAGTTTAAGTAAATTGCCCAAGGACACCCAGCTAATAAAGGCAGAGCCCGGTTTTGAAACCAAGCATTCTGACTCCCAGAGTTCATAATTCAACCACTAAAAGGAAATTCTGGCATTTAAAAAAGAGCCCATGTGAGGTGAGGACAACTGCACCATTTTCCCCATGGACTGTCTCTTTTGGATCATAGTTGAGGGAAGAGCATTGAAGGTTGACATTTCTCCCAGTTTTCCTTTCCCATAGTCCAAATTATCACATATTCCATTATTCTACCCTGCAACTATATCATTTTTCTACTATTTTTCTCATTGTTATATGGCCATTAGGGTAATACTGTTTACAATAATTCATATCAGATGAAATAATAAGAGTCCCTTTTATACCTTTGCTCTTCTCCTCTTGGTCTGGTTTTATGAGATCCATTTAGGCAAAAGATCCACTTTTGCATTTATCAGTAATGACCCTGAACAAGCTACTGTGAAATTCAACAGCATTTCAAATCAATTCTTTCAGCTCTGACTTTGGCTTTGTATAGCAATTCTACTGGTAAGATGAATGAGAAGTTAGTTACACCAAAGAGAGACAAAGAAACAGGAAAAAATAGAGAATGTAGGCACTTTTTCAACTTACAAGAAAGAGCAAGAGGCAGGAAACAAGGGATAAAGATATAAGAATAAAGGAAAGCAACAGCTGGACAAGAAACCAGGCAGTTATTCTAGTCAGAATATGTAAAACATTTTTAAAGTAGAATATGTTCAGCCAACCAATTCTTCCATTGCTAGATACTATGATTTATGTGAGATATTTCCAAATATTTCATGCAAAATTTTTCCATCAAACTCTCTTGCTGTTAATTGTGTTCGAGGAGCCAGAAAAGCTACAGAAGAAAGCAATACAGAAACCTTAGATATAGCAAATTAGGAAACCAATCAGGTAATTAGAAAACCAATTAGTTTTGCCATATACTGAAATAGAATCTTAAATTTATCTGTTACAGAGTACATAGTCAATCAAATATTTAATATCAGTAAGTATTGCCTGAAATTCTTGTTTCAATATTTATGCTCATCATAATAATGGGTTCCACTTTTGCCCTTATTATGTGCCAAGCACTGTGCTAAATTTCACAAAGATTAACTCCTCAGACATCACATAATAACCTTGTGAAGTTGGTACTATTATTAGGAGGATAGTAACTACCTAGGACAGTTACTGTACTGGGCTAGAAGAGCATACTAACTAACTAGGGCCAGAGGGGTTACACAACTTGTCCAAGGTCACAAAGCTAGTAAGCAGCAAAGCTAGAATTCGAACCCTCATTTACCTACCTTTAGAGCATGTACTTTTAATAACCTCTATGCTCTACTGAAGCCTCTAAACCAATGACTCTCAAATAGTATACATAAAAATCAGTAGACACAGAACCCCAGGTCCCAACCTCAGAGAGTCTGTTTCAAAAGGTCTGGGGGGTGCGGGGGTGCGGGGGAGGGATGGACATTTTAATAAGCACCAATAGAAATTCAGATACAAGTAGTCTACAGACAAGACTTTGAGAAACACTGCTGTAGAAACTCTTACAGAACTGTCTCAACAAGGTCATACAATTATTCATTAGTTTTATTTCTGCAAATGTAGCTCCTTCTGATAGTAAATCTATTAGGCCTTCATTACAAATGTTATTTTATGAAAAACAGAATCATTAGTACTGTTATGGTTCCCCAAGAGCTGAGAGAGTGGAAAAGGGGAATTGAAAGGTTATTCATCCTACCATCAGGCTACTTTCTAGCCTGGCCTTCAATAGAATTGTGAAATGCCTAAAGTTGTCTTTTGATACCTTAACTCCTCCATCCACTTTGGGCAATCTTCTCCTCCCAACTGCCCATTGCCTTCACACTGCTCATAGTCCCCACTAAGATGCTACAAAAAAAACTCTAAACTCTCTCTCTCCAGCCTTAAAAAGTATACTTCCTTATCAAGATGATACTCTTCACCAACAGATTGATAGATAGGTAAGATAAAACCATTCTAATGAGTTACTTTCCCCTTTTCCCACTTCACTCTTTCC